AAAGATGGACTTTATGAAGCAGTGCTAAAAACTTAAGCAAGGATATGAAACTGAAATGCAATTTATAAATTCATTTCTGTCAGGAGTGGGTGGACAGAAGTTAAATAGATTTGATCCAAGCAGAGTCTAGATGAATCTAGGGCTAGAGCCTGGAATACCTTCAGGAGCAGATAGATTGGATACCCTTATAACAACTTCATAAACATGATTTCTGTACTGGGCTTTTGATAAGACTGATACTTACACTTTTGTTTTCTGGCACAGGCCTGAAGGATAAGTATTCTGTGTTGTGGATAAAGGGATTGTTTATACTTGAGGTAAACAAACTTTTTCTGTAGAGGGACAGATAGTAAATATTTTAGGCTTTAGGGCCAGTCTATGTCACAATGATTTAACTCAACCATTGTAACACAAAAGCTGTCACAGATGATACATAAGTGAATGGACATGGTCATGTGCTGATAAGACTTTACTTGCAAAGCAGGCAGCAGGCAAGGTTTGGCCCATGGGCCTTAGTTTGCCAACCCCTGGTTTAACCTGAAAAATCAAAAAAGCAAACTGCATTATAGTCATTCTTTTGTTGAAATGATGGCACAGTTAGAAACTTGGTGGCTTTGGCTTCAGGACTCAATTGATTATAGGTGAGGATACATGGAGAGAACAGGGCTCATGTTAGAGTTGCAGATTCAATCTGTTCCTTTGAGGAACACATAGATCCAGGAGCAATGTGAGATGGCCCCTCCCATATCATAGTGATGCTCAACAAAGGTGGTGCTGGGATGCTGGCAGCTCAGAGTGAGGAGAAGGAGGTTGTGATGTTCCCTACCTGGAGGGCAGTGGGAACTCTCTACTCCAGCTTCATGGTTGCTTCCCAGCAAAGGGAGAAGGTGATGTTGGATTATTTCCAATAGACTGATGTGTACTATTCACTCCTTCACTGTTGTTTAAGTGCAAAGTCGATTTTAGGCACCAGAGGTGGATCCTAACTCACCTTCTATGAGTGCAGCATGCAGTACAGCTGAAGATATCCCAACTATTCTCAGGAGAATATAGCATGATTGCATTATAAAATGGTTAAGCTCTTGACTTCTAACCGAAAGGTTGGTGGTTCGAACTTACCCAGAGGCACCTTAGAAGACAAGTCTGGCGATCTGCTTCCAGCAGGTCACAGCCTTGAAAACCCTATGGAGTGGTTCTACTATGCACACGTAGGGTCACCGTGAGTCGGAGTTGACTCAGTGGAAATGAACAACAACACCATGAGCAGATAACACATGTGGATGCTTTGTTATGGCCTGAATCCTTAAATACCTCTCACTGACCAGAAACTAATCCAGAAGGTTAACTGTGTAATGGCAGCTAAAGGGTTGAATTCAGGAGGTCCTTGGTAACATCAGAAGAGGTGGCTCTAAGTATTTGACATCTATGATAGGTGGTTCAGGGCCTCAGCCTTAGGTACTGCTTCAACCAAGTTATGGATGACCCTGTAGTCCTAAGCATCAAGTTATGTGCTGTGTGTTCTGCATAGAGTGACAGTGGAAATGTAGCAAACTCACTGCCGTGGAGTCGACTGACTCATAGCAACTGCTCCTTGGGTTTCCGAGGCAGTATCACTACAGAAGGAGATTGCCCAACCTTCCTTCTGAGGAGTGGCTGATGGGTTTGAATCACCAGCCTTCTGGTTAGCAGTCAAATGCTTTAGGCACTACACCACCAGATCTCTTTAAACAAAGATAGCAGCTCCAAAAGAGTTTTCAGAAATCGGGCTGTGGACACAGTTGTATTTTCCCTGGGGCTTCATGGTCAGTTTGAACGTGGTTCAGTGTATAATACTTTCTGGAAAGTAGGTTAATTGGGCCATTTATCCCTTCTGAATTGTTGGAACCATTCACCTCTCCTGCAGCCCAAGGTGGTTAATAGTCTCTGTTCATTGTTATTTTCTGCTGTAGGCATGTGAAGGGCAAGTCCTGGGTCTCATCCTCACATACTCAGGGCTCTGTACTACTCTAAAATGCTTACCCATGAACAAAAACTGGAAAATATACTACAAATACAGTTATTTATAGAGCAGATATATATACACACACATATAATATTTATATGACAATATATGAGGAGCCCTGGTGGTGCAATGGGTAGGTAGTGCTCGTCTAGTAACTGAAAAGTCATTGGTTTGAACCCTTCAGCCCCTCTGTGGGAAAAAGATGTGGCAGTCTGCTTCTGTAAAGATTTACAACGTTGGAAACCCTATGGGGAAGTTCTTCTCTGTCCTGTAGGGTCACTATGCATCAAACAATTTTGACTCAATGGCAATGGATTTGGCTTTTTGGTTTTATAGTAATATATAATATAGTATTATTCTATATAACATTTATATAGTGATATATTTAATATAATGTTATGTATAACATTTACATAGCAATATATATTTGTTTATATAGCATATATATGTGTGTGTGTGTGTATATATATATATATATATATATATATATATAACCCCACTGCCATTGGGGAGCTCTGGTAGCGTAGTGCCTAAGGCACTTGACTGCTAACCAGAAGGCTGCCAGTTCAAACCTACCAGGCACTCCTCAGAAGGAAGATGGGGCAATCTACTTCTGTAGTGATACTGCCTCGGAAACCCAAGGAGGGATCGGTATGAGTTGGGTCCAACTCGATGGCACATAAAAACAACAACCACAACAACACTGCCATTGAATCAATTCCGACTCATAGTGACCCCCATTGGGGTTCCAAGGCTGGAAATCTTTATAGAAGTAGATTGCCTCATCTTCCTCCTGCAGAGCACCTGGTGGGTTTGAACTGTCCACCTTCTGATTAGCAGCCAAATGCCTTACCCACTATGCCACCAGAGCTCCTTTACATGAAGAAGATTGCCCAACCTTCCTTCCGAGGAGTGGCTAGTGGGTTTGAACCGCCAGCCTTTTGGTTAGCAGTCAAATGCCTTAGGCACTATGCCACCAGAGCTCCCAACAGTACAGTAGAACCTCAAAAAGCTAGAAACTTTGTAAGGCAGAAATCTGTCAGAGAAGAAAACTCAAATATTTTCCACTAACAGAAAGTGATAGAAAAGTGCACCCTGTCAAAGGCGGAGAACTTGCGAGTCGCAGAAGAACAAGGCAGTCCTGTGGAGTTCCGGCTCCCACAGTTTTCACTGCAGTATAAAATACTGTGGCAAAGCCAGTGTCAGAGAGCACTTGGTTGCCCATGGGGAAGATGGCTCCCTTTTGTTAAGTAAATGGTGCCAGACATTGAGCCCTTCTCAGAAATTTTAAAGCTTTTTGTTTGGGGAGTGGAACAAATTATGCCTACAAACTTAAAAAGAAGAAAACCACCTGGATTGAATCACAGTACTACACAGCAGAGATCAATAGACAGGTGGGGGTAAGGACTTGGCGGTTGGATTTAGACAGCATGTGTACTATATTTTCAACAAGGGCAGGATTTGAGGCCAGAGAAAGTTCAAGAGTAAACTGCTTAGAGGAGCTGTCTGATACCCAAGTCACCGGAGACTTTTGTTTCTTCCAATGTAACAAGTGAGCAGACAGACAATTTTGCTCCCTCCCTTTCCTTCCCCTGCGCCTGCCCATGTGCTTATATATAAGCAATGACTTTATCAGTTGTCTTAGGAGAACACATTTCCTTCAACAGAAGGTTGCACTGTGACCCTGCGGTCATGCTTTTAAAACATTCCTGGCACTAAGGAGAAGAGCAGAGATGTACTGAGCCAAAAATGAATGAAAAGAGAAGACTTAATACTGGGTAGCCGGGAGGTACAGCCACAGCTCTAACCCCTTCTCATCCTGTTGCCAGATGTTAGGGACAAAATGACCTGAAAGCATGCAGATATACTCAGGAATCCTCCAAAGCAACTGAGGCTCCATCCTGAGCCCTTCATATAGCTTTCATTTCTACTAGAGGGACCTGGGAATGATGAAAGAAACAAAGAGAAGTGGAACAGAAAGCTAAGTCTAACCTCACTTGTGGGTCTGCTTACCATGGGTAATTTGTGTCACTGTGATAGATAAATTGCCTGTCCCCATTGGTCCAGCTGGTTTTTAAGGAATGAACTTTGGCCCCACAGACATTTATTACTATCACTCTACCTCTTTCTGGTTCCCATAGTATCAGACCAAGAGAACCTGAGTGTCTGCTCATGGCTTTGCTCCTAACCCTTCCCCAACATTAACCACAAAGCACTAGAAATAGAGTAAAGAGACAGATGGATAACCTTAAGTAGCTTCTCAAGTCACCACACTGTCCTATTTGGGAGAGTGTTCAGAGCTAATTATACAGTGCAATGACCCTGATTGCTTTTAGTTCATAGAAACATGCTGATTTCCCTGTTGTTGGTTGTCATTGAATCAACTTCAAACATGGTGAGCCCGTGTACAATGGAATGAAACGTTCCATGGTCCTGTGCCATCTTCACGATCACTGAGTCCATTGTTGTGACAGTTGTGTGGTGCCTTCCAACTTAGAGGACTCATTGTCCAGCACTCTATTGGATGATTTTCTGTTGTGATGCACAGGTTTTCATTGACTACTTTTCAGAAGTAGATCTCCAGGCCTTTTTTAATCTGTCTTAGTCTGGAAGCTTCACTGAAACCTGCCCACCCTGGGTAACCCTGATGGTATTTGAAAAACTGGTGGCTTAGCTTCTAGCATCACAGCAACACGCAAGCCACTACAGCACAACTGACAGATTTCCACAGTAGGCATTAATGTTACCTATTTGTTAGTGTGGGAGTTCTAGTGGCATAGTGTCTAAGGCATTTGACTGCTAACCAGAACTCTGGCAGTTCAAACTCACCAGCTACTCCTTGGAAGGAAGATTGGGCAATTTACTTCTGCAGAGATACCACCTCGGTAACCCAAGGAGGGGTCATTGTGAGTCTAATTGACTTGATGGCAGTGAGTTTGGTTTTTCGGTTTTTTTATTCGTCTGTTCACGGATCCGTTCTCCATGTTCTTGGTCACAGGGCCTGAGGATCATTTTCTCTGATGCATCACGGCTCATCTTCCGGCTCAGTTCATCCAGTGGTGTACGGGCCACCATCCGGCTGTATGCAGAGAGCTATGAGCGGGATCCCAGCAGCCATGACCAGGAGCCACAGGTACCAAAGTAGAGCAGGCTCCCTGCTCTGCTTGTTTTGTTGCTCTGGCAACTTATTTACTCATTTTTGTTTTTTTATTTTTAAAATTTTACAAAAATATTTCAGGTACAATGATAGTCTTTGTTAAGCATTCAAAAAATGTCTGATTATGATATTTCTATATATGTATTTTTATGTGCTGTAAGAATGTCCATATAAATAGAACTAACAGGGGGCAAAGTTATGATAACTTCTTAGCCATAGTCAATCAACCTTAGGGAGCAAATTGTTGGGCCTATGGCCTTAGGACCATGGTTATAGGGGACATCAAGCTCAAGTGGCCATCTAGATGCAACAATTGGTCTCTCCTCATCTGGAGCAAAAAAGAATGAATAAAACCAAAGTCACATGGAAACAATTAGTCCAAGGGACCAGAAAACCATATGAATTGTAGCCTATATGACCAAGAGACCAGAAGAACTAGGTGGTACCCAGCTACCACTGTCAACCACTTGGAAAGGGATCAGTGTAGGAGATTCTGGATAGAGTGGGAAAACAATGTGGAACAAAACTCAAAATCATGAAAGAAAAAAAAAAAAAGACCAAGTTTCCTGGTCTGATAGAGCCTGGTGAGACCCCTGAGACTATGGTCCCTAGTTACCCTTCAGGTCTGGAATTGAACTCACTCCCATGCCTTCCAGCCAAACAATAGACAGGCATATGGGGTGAACATTTACATCAGGTAGACACGCTCCTTATAAGAACAATCAATCATGGGAGAACAGAAGAGCAGTATTTGCATAGGAAGATAGTTCAGGGGGAAGGAATGCATAGGAAAGAAGGACACGGAGAAGAGGTAACTACAGGGAAGAAGTGGAAAGAAGGCTGTTACATTGTGGGGATTGCAGACAATGTCATGAAACAAATCTGTATGAACTCTGGTTTTGGAAAATGAATTTGCTCTGTAAACTTTCACCCAAATTGCAATAAAAATTAAAAAGAAAAGATATGTCTGATTAGCTGACAGATGTTCTCATGTCCCAGATTTATAGCAGAGCCTATGCTCAGAGGGAAAGAGGCTTTTATTCTTTTATTTTCTTTTTATTTCAGTGATTTCAGTGAAAGTTTACAGAACAAATTGGTTTTCCATTCAATAATTCATACACATTTTGATTTGTGATATTCATTGTAATCCCCACAATGTAATAGCTCTCTTCTCACTTCCTCTCTGTGGTTTCCTTTCCCTATGTCCATTTTTTCCTACATATTCCCACCCTCTGAGTTTTCTTCTAACACAAATGCTACCCTTTTGATCCTCTATGGTTGATTGTTCTGAGGAGTGCATACCTACCTGGTGTTATTATCTGTTGTTTGGTTGAAAATTGAGTCACAAGGGTGAGTTCGGTTCCAGGCCTGAAAGGTGTCTAAGGGCCATAGTCTCAGGGGTTCCACCAGTCTCTATCAGACAAGTAAGCCTGGTCGTTTTTATGATTTTGAGTTTTTTCCCACATTTTTCTCCCATTCTATCTAGGATCCCTTTCAAAACAATCAGCAGTGGTAGCTGGGCACCATCTAGTTCTCCTGGCCTTACGGTTGTGGAGGCTGGGGTTCATGTGGTCCACCTGTCCTTTGATTTTCTTCACTTTTCTTTGCTCTGAATGGGGAGGGACCATTAGTTGCACCTTAGATGGATGCTCACTTGCCAAAGTAGTTTGTAGAACATTGCCTTTGGGGACTATGTTATGCCCCATTGACCTTGGCAATCTTTGAGACTATATTCCTAAGCCCCCATGCCCAATGACTCATTCCCTCAATGTTAGTTTGGTTATGACTAAGAAGTTCTCTGGTGGTGTAGTGTCTAAGGCATCTGACTGCTAACCAGAAGGCTGATGGTTCAGACCCACCAGCCACACCTCAGAAGGAAGGTTGGGCAATCAACTTCCATAGTGATACTGCCTCGGAAACCCAAGGAGGGGTTGCTATGAGTCGGGTCCAAATCGATGTCAAATAACAAGAAGTTCTCATAACTTTGCACTGTATGCTCTATTATATTCATGGGTATATTTGCAGCACATAAAAAATACATATGTGGAAATGTTCTCTGTCAAATATATATATATATATTCATGGTTGTGGACCCATTCACCTCCCCACCCCTGTTCAGCTTATGTGTCTATCTATGCATGAACTTGTAGATTACTGTTAATACTGTTATTGTAGGATTGTATATGTTATAGTATTTACTTCTGCTGCCTTTAACTCTTGGGCTCCTCCAGCATCTTCCTTTGCACTGTGCTGAGTTAGAGAGTTCCCATGGGCCTGGACATTCTGGAAAAAATGTTGATAAACCTCCCTCTAAAGAATAGGCTTAGGATGACAGCAAGCAAATTGAATGTATGCATTGTAGCATTTGAAACAACACTTGTTCCCCAGCAAATATAATGAGTTGAGGTCAACTTTTCCCAAACTGCTTGCCTCTCTTGATTGTTCTGCACTTTGCTAATTAGGGTGACATCCATCAAGATATACTGATAGGATAAAGAAATTTTGAGTTAAACAGGTTTAAGCTGATCACTCTCCTTGGAACCTTGACCATGCTCAGATTTCCAGGTGTTTGGAAAACTCTGGGTTGGACCATGGCCATTGAGGAGCCAATATAGACACTGTTTTATGAGTCCTCTCTGAGATGGTGGCAGAGTCCACCATGAGGGGAGGTGCCATGGTAACCTGAAGTTCAGATAAGGGAGGACATTGACAAGCTGAGACTGCTTGTATTTGGTAAAGACCTTTCATGTTTCAATAACAGTGCTAATTAAGAACTCATTTTGTTTAGCTGATAGCTGCCATCTAGTTGACCCCTGACTCGGGGTGACATCATGCACAATGGATCATTGTGACCCACAGGGTTTTTGTTGGCTGATAGAAGTAAATCACCAGGCCCTCTTCCTAGTCTGTTTTGGTCCAGAAGCTCTGCTGAAACCTGTTCAGCATGATAGCAACACACAAGCCCCCACTGACGGATGGGTGGTGGCTGCACATGAGTTTCATTGGTCAGAAATCGGACCCAGGTCTCCTGTATGGAAGGCAAGAATTCTACCACTGAACCACCATTACCAGACCAAACTGGGGTTTCTGAGGCTGTAAATCATCCTTGAAGTAGATGGCCCTGTCTTTCTTCTGTGGAGTGGCTTGTGGGTTTGAACCACTGACCTTCTGGTTAGCAGCCAAATGCCTTATGCACTATGCCACCAGAGTTCTTTTAGAAAATATTAAACAGCACAACCATAAGCCTTCCCATTCCCATATTTACTAAATCTCCAGGCAACTCTGATTAACCCAGAAAGGACCCACTATGAGCTATACTGCTGGCTTCCCTGTCTCCTTGGTCTTTACTTCAGTCTGGGTTTAGAAGCAGGATCCTTGATGAGAAGATTCCTTGAGATGAGAACATTGATTGCAGCTGCAACATTTCTTTTGGGGAGCAGGAGAGAAGCAGAGGTAGAGAGGCAGTGGTGGCTCAGTGGTAGGATTCTCCCCTTCCATACAGGAGTCCTGGGTTCAATTCCCAGTCAGTGAACCTCACGGGCAACCCCACACCCGTCGTCTGTCAGTAGAAGCTTGTGTGCTGCTGTGATGCTGAGCAGGTTTCAGTGGAGCTTCCAGACTAAGACAGACTAGGGAGAAAGGCCTGGAGATCGACTTCTGAAAATCAGCCAATGCAAATCCTGTAGATCATGATGGTGCATCTGCAACTGGTCACGGGGATGGTGCAGGACTGGGCAATGCTTTGTTCCACTGAACATGGGGTGGCCATGAGTTGGGGCGACTCCATGGCAACTAACATCAACAAGAGAAGCAGAAGCGCTGGCGGCCCCTCATTCGATTATTTGCTGTGGGCATACCATGGGTGGGATGAGAAACCTGGACAGAGTTTCTATCTTTGTCAATAGTGTTTTTTTTCACAGTATCTTTCTTTGGAGAATCTTAAGGAACTTCATAAAATGGTGACAGATCCACAGACCTGACTCAGTAAGATCTGTCTGGGGTCACAGCATCCCAGGTGGGGAGCTGGAGGCCTAGTAGGCCGAGAATTGGTGTCAGGGTCCCTGGCACAGGGTGTGGTCCTTTCTTCTCAGGATTGCAGCCTCTCTATGCAGGGTGGGACCGTGCTCTGCCAACATAGCTACTTAGTGAGTGCAAGTCACCCAAGATAGTACTGCATCATGCAAGGATGAGAGGCTTATCCTCTCTTTCCATATGAAGCTTGCTCTGTCCTTTTCTTGTTGGGCAGGGAGATGATAGAATGGGCTGGAAGTCCAGAGCAACATTCGGGGAGAGGAATGATGGCCTGACCTCCCAACATGACTCATTCTGGCTCCAGTCTATTTTCTCCTCAACACTTTTTTTCCCCATTTATACAGGGTAAGCCCTGATGATATTTGCTTATTTTTATTTACTGACCACACTGACTGCAGGAATAGAAGTGTGTGATAACAATCCAGTCATTTATGAATCTCTCAGTAAGGTAATCTACAAAAGCAAAGTGATGCCACTGTTTTCTTAAGACTTCTTTTAAGACTGAAAGCCTCCATTAAATAGATAGATAGATAGATAATAAATAAATCGAAATCCTCCCATCAAGTAGACTCTGACTCATGGTGCCTTCATTTGAGTCAGAGAAGAGCTGTGCTCATAAGGTTTTCAACGGCTGAGTTTTTGGAATTAGATCATCAGAGCTTTCTTCTGAGGCACCTGGGTGGGCTCAAATCACCATTTGGTGAGCAGCCGAGCAGGGTAGCTAACTGTGTGCACCACGCAGGGACTCCAGACGCCTCCACAGAGCTGCTCTTGGAGGGTCAAAGGTATACTTCAATTCCTGCATAAAGAAAACATAAATAATGTACGTTTTAGTTCTCGTGAGTGTGTATTTTCCACTGCTCAGTAGAATGTTTGGAGGATCCCTTCATTGATGTCCTCTGACATGAATATTCCCACCCTCCTGATCACCACCAAAGTCTTCC